AAGCAGTGGTATCAACGCAGAGTACTACTACGATAGCACAAAGGTTAATATTAAATAAGCGCATAAATAAGGAAGAATATTATGGAAGATTTTTTAGTTAAAGCATTACAGACTGGCAACGCATCAGCAATTTTATATTCAATTGCCGTCTATTTCATTATCTATTTCCAACGCAAGAATTCAACAACCAACCGTGATAATCAGTTGGAAAATATGAATAAACGTATGGAACGCGAAATCACTGAATTAAAGACTGAAAAGGAATTGATGGAAAAGGATATTGAGTTCCTTAAAGATGAGAATTCTACAATTAAGTCTGATATTAAAGAAATCAAGAACACTCTACAACAGATTTCTTTGTCTTTAGCAAAGATTGCAGCTCAAGCAGAATTAAGAGAAAGTAAAGGAAAATAAATATGTTCAAAGACTACATGGTAAACGAATCTTCTGAATTTAGTACTATGGAAAATAATCCAATGATTTTTACATTGATTATTCCACGTTTTATTACATGTAACGATGTGAAAACTATCAAGGAAGATAAAGTTTTGAAAAATGCAGTAGATAAGGTCGAAAAGTTTATTAAGACCCTTTCTAACAAGGCAGTTAAAGAATTAAAGCAAAGTAACAAGCCATATGCTGTGATGGATATGTTTAAGCTAAGCAAAAATTACAAGGATACTTTTGATAAGTATTTTGCTGAATATAAAAGTATCATATGCAATACTGAAACAAACTTCATTAAATGTATGGAACTAGACAAGAAATTTAATGAATTGTTTGATTCTCCGGAGCTAGTTGCTTATAGAAATACCCTTTAATTTTTGCAAAAAAGGACCTTTTAAAAATTTTTATAAATAAAAATATAGAGGATTTAAAATATGAAAAACGAACAGCAAATTTTTGAAGCATGGAAGCGTAAGAACAAGAAACTCAATGAAGGTTTTCTTGACGGTGAAGAAGAAGAACCGGTGACTTCCGATGATTCCCTTGGTGAAGAAGAATCTGATGATTCTTCTGAAGAAATTTCTTTAGATTCTGATGATGATGAAGAAATCGACATTTCTGAAGAACCATCTGATGACGAAGATTCTGAAGATGATGAAGAATCCGAAGGCGATGAAGAATCTGAAGGTGATGAAGAATCCGACGACGATTCTGAAAATCTCGATGACTTCGACGGCGACGAAGATGACGAAGATGACGGTGCATCTAAGGGCTCTGATGATATTACAGAATTAAAAGATTTGATTACTACACTTACAACTCAAGTTCAGACTTTGACTGACAAGGTTGACAGTATTGCTGATAAGGATGCAGGTTCTGAAGAAGGCGGCGACGTTGCCGACGAAGGTTCTGAAGAAGGTGGTGACGACTTTGGTTTCGACGAAGAAGGCGCTTCTGAAGAATCTGAAGGTGAAGAAGACAGTGGCGAAGAATCTGAAGGTGAAGAAGACAGTGGCGAAGAACCTGAAAGTGAAGAATCTGAAGAAGAATCCGAAGAAGATACTTCTAGCGACGATGAAACTAAGTCTGAAGCATGGAACTACTGGCATCGTAAAGGTCGTTATTTGAGTGAAAAGGGTGACTATATCATTGGTAAGATCAATGAAGGTCGTTACGACTTACTCGAAAATGACATTATGCTCGCTGTTAAGGCAAAGATTCGTAAGCGTATTGAAGACGCAAAGAAGCAGATTCGCAATGAAGCTCTTCAGCGCAGATAATTAAAGATTTGTCCTTTATATTAAAAACCCAACTTTTTAGTTGGGTTTTATTTTTATTTCGCTTTTTGACTATATTTTAATAAATAATATATGGCAATTAGACAAGATGAAATGCTAGAGTTTACTTCTGTCGGTGACATCAAAGCTGGATATTTTTATGCATTCGGTTATAATGCACTAGCTAAACGTGGTACTGATATGGCCCCTGTGATTTATTGCGCTTATGCTCCACCAGATTCATTAAATTTTACCGGAATTAACTTTCATTATTTTAGTATTGAAACTTGTGGTAGAATACTTAGTATGATGAATAAAAAACAATTCATTTTAGATGATGATATTCAACATATTTTTAATGGTTCTGACTTACATGAATGTTTTTCGAATATTGGTATTGGTATGAAAATGTATAATAAAACTAGAATAACAGGTTCATGCTTTAGAATTAAGAATAAGTATATTGGTGATTTCTTACATATTCCAAGTGAGTTCTTTATGACCAATGATTTGGAAAAACAAATTCAGCAAGCATTGGAGATAAACAAAAATAAGGGTTTCTAGTGAATTACGAGCGTATCTATAACAGTATTATTAATAGAGCAAAGAATAGAGTTCTTTTTGGTTTAATTGAAAATCATCATATAATTCCTCGTAGTGAAGGAGGAAGTAATAAGAAAGGCAATAAAATTGAACTTTCACCAAAAGAACACCACATATGTCATTTACTACTTATTAAAATGGGAAAGTGTTTAAAGTATTGCTATAGACACATGAATTCATTCCAATATATAAGGATGAAGGAAACAGAGAAAAGAAAAATAAAGGTTCGCGAGAGCCGTAAAATGTATAAAGAAAGACGTGAATTTGAGGAAAATCAATATGAAGGTAAGTTTAATTGTAGCTACTGGACTGAAGAACGAAATTGGTCAAAAAAATCAAATGCCTTGGAAACATCTAAAAGCTGATTTACAAAGATTTAAACAGTTAACTTCTGGTCATTGTGTAGTAATGGGCCGTAAGTGTTTTGAGTCTATTGGCAAAGCACTTCCCAATAGAACGAATATAGTTGTATCAAGCAATCCAGAATATGAAGCCGAAGGTTGTATTGTAAAAGATACTCTTCAACTAGCTATGGATTATGCAGTATCTCGTAATGAAACTGAAGTATTTGTAATTGGAGGCGGTACCATTTATCGTCAAATGTTATCTACAAGAGCAGTTAAACAGATTTATCTGACAGTTGTAGATAGTGAATTTCCAGAAGCTGATGTATTTTTTCCAGAATTAAATCCTAATGAATGGGTTAAAGAAGAAGTAGGCTCAGCTGAAAAAGACGAAAATAATGACTACCCTGTTAAGTTCTATGTATTGAAAAATAAAAGATTTTTATAAATAATATATGACAAAGAATTTTAAAGAACTCGATAAGAAAATTGAAAAAATCGTAGGTATTTTTGAAAAACAAGGCTTCGGCTGTCGTTTCTTCAGTAATACAAATATTAAGATTGTAGATAATTCTATGCAGGATACTACCTCTACTGGTGAAGTTGGTAGTATTACCATGACAAAAGAAGGAAAGATTACTGTTAAGTTGACTGGTAAGGAAAACAAACAGAAGATCAAGAGTATCATGCATAAGACAGAATGCGTTTTCGGACCAAACAAGCTTGCTCTTGAAATCGGTGCAGAAACTCGTATTCTTATCAAGAACTATTTGGCTGCAGTTAAGAAAATTGCAAAAGAACTATAAATATAATAAAATTTAGGAGATATCAACTATGGATTTTAAAGAATATTACCACAAGAAACTTGATGAAGAATTTGCAGCTGAAGAAGCAGCACGTTCCGAAGCAGAACAGAGTTATACCACTCAGGCTATGGGTTCTAATGCACAGAGCTTGATTAACCAGTATGTTAAGAACGGTGACCTAAAGGACGGTTTCAAGAACCTTGGTCAGGATCTTGCAAAGGCTATCGTAGACTATGCTAAGACTCAGCTAGTAAATGACGAAATGTTTGATTCCGTTGACGCTAAGTCTAAGTTCGAAAACTTTGTAGACCAGAAGATTGGTCTTACTGCTGGCGGTACTCTTACTGATTTGCTTAAGCATATCGCTATTGACTTGGCAAACGCTAAGAATACATTCACCGCTTAATCTGAAAGTTTAATATAAAGTTTAGGCTAACTGATTTAAAGTCAGTTAGTCTTTTTTTTATAAATATATAAAATAACTCGAGATTATTTTTAAGGAGATTAATAACATGTTATTAGATGAAGCAAAAAATGTACTAGCTAAGGCTGGATATAAAATGGTTCAGGAAAAGGAAGACCTTCAGGAATCATTTAGAAATTTCAAGAAACATAATATGCTTGCTGAATGCGGCGATTCAGAATATTACGAAGATGATGCTGAAGCAGCAGGTATCGCATATACAGATGATGAAGAATTTGGTGAATGTCCAGTATGTGTAATTTGCGGTAAAGAATGCTGTGACGATGAAGGCGAATATTCAGAAGATGGTGATTTTGTATGTGCAGATTGTGCACAAAATACCGAACAAGAAATGATTGATTTGGACCCAATGTCTTTCCGGGATAATAAGATTCCTGACTCTAGAACTCCACGTGCTCGCCAGTTAGACGATATGGCTGAAGAAGATTTCGATGAATCTTGCCACCAGTATAAGTATGGCCGTAAGCTTTACGAAGATTTAGAAGCAGAAGATAAAGATTATTATGCTGAATGGGAAGCTTTTGAAGATAGGCGTCATGCATTAGAACAGGAAGAAGGCGAAATGTGGGATAATTGTCCGGGTTATGCAGTTAGTGTAAAAAAAGGTTTATCTGATGAAGATTATATCGACCCTGAAGAAAACCTTTATGCAGAAGAGGATGACCCTATCGAAGACTACAATGGCGAAGAAGGTTTATCTGATGAAGATTATATCGACCCTGAAGAAAACCTTTATGCAGAAGATGAAGAATCTTTAGGCGAATCATGCTCTTGCGGCAAAAAGGGTTGTTCTTGCGGCGGTAAGAAATCCAAGAAGAAAGGAAAGAAAGGAAAGTCTAACAAGGGTTGGGTTCCTTACTGGATGTTCAAGAAGGGCAAGGATAAGGACGAAGACTAAGTAAAATAAGTTTTACGTTTTTATTAAAGGAAAGGGCTTACAAAGTCCTTTCTTTTTATTATATTGCATAATATTATAAAAGGTAAGGTTATAATGTCTAAATACACTATTAGTTCATTTTATGAAAAAGTTGCTCCATTTCTTAAGGAACATAATTATGAATTGAACAGAGATGACTGGCAGTATGATAGTAAAATTAATGATTACAAAAAGCATACTTATAAAACTGAAAAAGCAGCATTAAATAAATTGATCGAGTCAAAAACAAAGTATATTACATTTCGTATTCCTAATGGGTTAGATGATACTATTGATGCTGAATTGAATTTTAAATTACATTCAAATTTTTTTCGTCTTAATGTAAGTCCTTGTGTTGATATTGAATTCCATAAAGTAAGTGAATTTATTTCATGGTATGAACGTTATGGTGAAGAATTTAATACCTTTTATTCTAAATATCATACTATAGCATATAATATTAGGCAATTAGAAAAAACTAAAAGTGATTTATATAATACGTTCTATCCATCTATTAAAAAATTTAGAGAAGAACAAGAACGTAGATGGAAATTTGATAAAGAAAACTTTAAAATGACTAGAATTCTGGGAAAGTTAAAATGACATATTATGAACAGTGTAAGCGAAACTTTATAGAAGAATATAAAGCCAAACATGATAAAATGGTAAAACGTCTTTCCGAACAGGTGGATAAGTTGCTTGTCGAACAAAAGAAAAACATTGAAGAATTAGAAAAATATTTTAACTTCTAATGGTTATAACATCATAGGCCTTGGTGTTAACCAATGCAGAGCAGATTTAACTGTTCTTGAGCCTAAGTGTTATTATAAAGTACAGAAGACTGGTTGTCCGTTTGTAATTAATTTGGTATGTGCATTTACTAATAAAGGTGACCAGTGTAGACCGTATTTTTATGCAATGTCTACTATTGATCGGGCATATAATAAAGGACTTTCTAGGGCCGTTATTGATAAGTTTAACGAATATTGTATTGCAACACCGATTCGTGAACTTTGGCTTACCAATAACGATTTTTCGGGAACCAATGAATTGTTTTTTGAACACTTAAACAGCCTGTCAAATATTACCGATATTGATTCTGTCAATCGATATAATTTTGTCAGAAAGACTATCGCAGAAAATAAAAAAGTATTAAAGGCTATTAATAAACTATAATAGGTTTATGAAAATTAAAGTAGATCAATATACATATAATGCTATCGGGATATCACCTGAAATATTTATTGATATGGAACGCTGGGTTGGCGGGCATAATGAAGTTATTGAAGGTGATATATTTGAATATTTTAATTTAGTATGTGTGAAAGGTAATAAAAATGTAAAAACAGGCCAAACTGTTGTATTTGATAATAAAACATATCAACCTAAAGATGCTAAAGAATTAGAAATACTTCGGCATAATATAGAACTTGCATTGGCTTTGGAGAATTTAGATGTCTTTTACAACGAATGAAATCGGAGAATCTTTTATTATTGAACCCATTAGGCAGTTTGTATATACACATCCAGCTTTTACATATCGTAATACAGCTTCATCTATAGATGTTAATAAAAAGAAAAATGATTTTTGGGTAGAATTTGACGATAATGGATATTCAGTTGAGATGATATTACATCATAAGAAAAACTATGCATATAAACATAAATTTGAATTTATTAGGCCAGTGAATCTAGAATCAGCATGGAGAGCAAATACCATTAAGTCAATATTAAATATGCTGGAAAATTATGATTCAATTATGCAAGACTGGTTTAAACAGTGTAGTATTTTTTATAGTAATATGAATAACATTATGGCAATTAATTCAGTTGATGCATGTTTAGTTTCAACAGGATATGTTTAAAATAAGTAATATGGGTTAACAAATTTAACAACTATTACTATAGTCGTCTATATGTTTAAAATATTTAAAGGCGAATACGTTACATCATTTCTAATTATCTTTAGTTTCCTGGTTACTGCTATTCCAGGAATGAAAGAATTGGTATTGTGTAATAGTTCGTTGGCTTATGTGACTAATATTTTCTGTCATTCAGATTTAAGTACTCATTGGCTAAATAATATGTTTCTAATAGCTTTACTAGGGCCAACTATCGAAAATCATTTTGGGGCTATTAAAATGAGCTTAATGATAGTTCTGACAGCGCTAGTAGAGAATCTAGTCTGCAACGGTATTGGAATGTCAGGTATTGCATATATGTTTATAATTTTATCTTGTTTTTGCCGTAAAGATAAGACAATTTCATTTACATGTATTGCTTTAGCATCATTTGAACTTATTCCAGAACTTAAGAATTGGATTTTTGCAGATGATAATATTGGGCACAGTGCACATTTTATGGGTGGAGTAATGGGTTTCATTTTTGGACTTATTGATAATAAATTAAATCTGGAGAAAAACTAATGGCAAGTTATACACGTTTTTTTAGACCATGTGCTTTATGGTTAAAACAATATTGCAAAGATAATAAACTTACTTATCAATATTATACTAGTGATTGTGTTAAAATATTAACTGATGCTTATTGTATCTATATAACTGAATCAGATTCTACTAATTCGGATATTATAGTTGAAGTTTTTAAAACGGAAACTAACTCATATGGATGTAGTTATCAAGGCTCACGTGTATTAAATGTTATGCTTGAGTTTAACACTGAACTACTTAAACAATTTATGGATTCTTTAAATGAATTACTGGAAAATTGTAAAAAACATTTAGAAATTTATAGACATAATATTTCTGTTGAAATGGACTTGCTAGGTATTAAGCGTGTCGCCAGTAATCGGTTTGAATATAATGATGGAGGCATATAATGTCATTTAATGGATTTTTAGAATTTCTAGGATATAGTGCAATACTGGATATAATTGAATACATTATTCCAGTTCTAGGTTTTATTGGTATTGCGGTTTATTTCTGGTGGGATGATTTAATGTCTGTTATTAAGGGCAATAATAAAGCCAGTAAGTATGGCGATGAATTAGTAAAGAATTTACCTAAAGATACTAAGTCGATTTTTGATGATTAATATGATAGCTATAGCATTTATTATTGTTTTTATTATTGCATTTATTATTGGACGTTTTAGTAAATCTTCTGATATTGAAGATGAGTTTCTACCAACTACATTTGACAAAAATATTAGTGAAAGAAAAAATGAACAGACCAGTGACCCTAATGCATCAAGTTCTGATTTAAGTATTAGATATAAGTATAATTGTGCTAAGTCAGAAATAAGATTCTTACAAAATGAAATTCGGTTAAAGAATGAAGAAATTAATCGATTAAATAGACAAGTTTTTAATAATTATCAAGGTTTAACAAAGTATAACGATTTATTACGTAAACCAGAATGGAAATTATTCAGAAATATTATTCTTCGTTCAAGAGGTTATGTTTGTGAAGAGTGTGGCAATAACGGAATTTTAAATATTCATCACTTACATTATTATTGTTACCCAAATGGTACAAAATATTTACCATGGGAATATGGAGTAAATGATGTAAAAGTATTATGTGAAGATTGTCATAAAAAAGCACATCAAAATAATAAAATAGAAATAATTAAAAAACA